CCGCGGCGCTTGCCCTCTTGCTCTTCCTGCTGACCGCCGGCTGCCCGCTGGCGAGCGCCCTCAACGACACGGAGCCCATCGTGTTGGAGGGCAAGTGCCTGGTGGTGTGTGACTCCAGCCCCTCCGCCGACGGCGCCATCACCTCCTCGCTCGGCATCTCCGTGCGCTCCGGCAGCGCCAAAGTGGCGTTCTCGGCCACGCGCAGCACCAACCACGAGCCGTCCGAGATGAGCAACCGCACCATGACCATCTACTTCGACCAGGTCAGGCGGGACCCGTCGCCAAGGCTTCCCCTTCTCCCAATCCCTTTTCCCAGCTGTCCTTCTCCAACCCGTCCCTCCCTCCCTTGCCTAAGCCCTTCCCAGCTATTCTCGGGGGAAAGGCTCTCAGGCTCCACCCACTTGCCCTGCCCTCCCCTGCCTCCCTTTCGAGCCCCTCTCATCTCCAGCAGGTAAGCCTTCCATATACCCCAAGGACTGGAGTTCAGAACCCAAAAGGGCCATACACTAATTAGTTCCTTGTTTCCACCTTTCCCACTCAACCACCCTCCCTTGCTTCCATCTTTTCCCTGCTGATCCGCCCCTCCTTAGGTAACTTCACCCTTTCATACAACTTATTGCCCCTTCTCTTCGTAACCGAGGGCCTTGTGACCAGGTATTGGGAACTACCATCAAGAGATCTCTATGAACTGCATTTTCCACAGACTGCCCTTTAGCACTTAATGCTCCTCAATCTAACGCCATCTTTCCGTCTGCCTTCCAAAGCTGGAGTTTCCTTCAAACATATCCAGACACAAGGTTCTTCTCCACTGACCCCATTCAAGCTCAGTCCGCCTTCTCATGACCCTGCCATTTCATTAACTACAGCCAGCATCCTAACAGCACTTGTGGTTCTTCAGTACCTTCTCCTGATATAGAGGTGCCATGGTTTCCTAATAATAAGTATCCCTTCGCATCTGAGATCCATAGCACTATAGCTAACAAATATCGAATGATAATAAAAGATGGCTTGCTAACTAACCTTCTCTAGAAGCACAGCATCAATGCACATGTCCTCTCCTGTCAACATCCTAAGATTTTATTTCTGCAGAGTTGATTCCCTCCCCCCAATATCTAGTCAGCTGAACTAACAGACATTCACAGAAAGAGGAATCTGCAGAATTTAGGTGTAATGCAGGGTGGAGATAGTTGAAGGCACTGCAAGCTTAGACTTTTCCTCTTGACTGGGTTTAAGAAACCCTGAGTTGAAGCTTTCTGAGTTGTATTGATATAGTCCAGGAGAAAAAAAAAGATGGGCTCATGGGGGTTATTTGTATCTTCTTAAAATATAGATAAAAATATAATTTATAGAACTAAGTGCATTTAAATACTTTAGAATTACTCAATGCACATTATGCATGTTTATTTGTATGGTTGTCTATCTGACATCCCCTACAAAAGGATTAATTCTTTATTCCCATACACACTCTGTTTTGTGTCTGCCATGCTCTTTTAAACTTTGGGAAAAGAAGACCTTGAGGTAGATTTATATTTTTGTTTTCAATAAAATTATTCTGCCTCATAGATCAAAGGCAGAAAGCTGTTATGTCAAACACTATACACTGCATCTCACCATTTTGTTCATAAAGTTTATTTGGCTCCAGAATATATTGCCTTTAAAAAAATTGTCAGTTGTATTTTTGATGACTGTTTTGTTTTCTATTTGTGCATGTGTGTGCATGCAATAGGAAGGATAAGACTGTTATATACTCTTACCTGGGAGTGAATTGACTACACTAAGGCACACTTACCGTATTTTTCGCACCATAAGACACACTTTTTTCCCACAAAACGGGGGTGGAAAGTCTGTGCCTCTTATGGAGCGAAGAAAACAGATTATATTTTCCTGTTTTCTTCTCCTAAAAAATTGGTGCATCTTATGGAAAGGTGCATCTTATGGAGCGAAATATATCTGGCTCAGAAGTACATTTTATTAGGTTCCATTGAGCTTCCTTCCAGGTAAGTGGGTGGGTGTTGGATGCCAAAGAGCCTGGTTTTGAATAGACATTAATAGGAATATGCTGTTAAGAAAATACAGTAAAGAATAAGACTCTACTATCACATTCACAATCCTTCTTTGTCATTTTATAACTTTAAATGCAAGTTTTGAAACTAGACTGGACAGGATCCGAAGTTTACAAGTTTACATATCAACAATAGCCAGGGTCTCTCATCTGAACAATATCTCTGAATAGCTTTTCCATTCATTTGTATGTATATGCATATATTTATATATTCACACATGCACAGGAAATGGGTATTGTAAGATAGTACTGTACAAAGAGATACATACAAAGCAGAGGAAAAAATACTAGGAAGTGTGGTCTGCCAGGTTCTATGGCATTGTACCAATTACCTTTGATGTGGTTCTGACAATTCTTTATTTAAAAAATTCTCCAAATGATTTGAAGGCTAAACAATCCTAGAGCCTCATTTGCAGAATTTTTAAGGGCTAAAATATTCATTTGTAATTCTCCCATATTTTTCTAGCATATTTTCTGTCTTAATTCTGAACATAGAAAATCCACTTAGAGGCAAGGTTGGAATAGCCGTACAATTCCTTTTGACTGGTAGTATTACAAGCCCTCTGTCTGGAAAAAAAACCCTGTCAGCTATATTATTAAAATTTCTGGCAAACTCTGCAATCAGCTATCTGAGAAGACACATTAGGAGAAGATTTAGGCTATGATTTTTCAAGTAAAGAACATTAAATACATGGTTTGGGGAGGTTTCTAGGCCTATCATAAGATTGCTACTGCTCATTCATATTTTGCTTGTGCAGTAAGAGTTGGACTTTGTTGTGAGAAGGCAGACTGGAGCATGTGGAAACCAGGTTCCTCTTGGATCTCTTCCCTACCCCACATTTGTTAGTCTGCAGAATGCTTTTGAAACATTCATAACTTGGCTCAAGATACTATTTTACATTATTCTAATTGACAAATTGAATTCACTTTTACCACTAAGTCCGTGTACTAAGTATTTGTGGGTTAAAATGCATCTACTCTACTGATTTGTTCAAGCCTAAGTGAATTCGTCCCTGTGCTTCTTGATTGGGAAGCAAGAAACAAGAGGATGAGAGATGTACATTGCAAAGTAAAATAAAATAAAATAGGTTATATACTTAAAATTTGAACTCCTTCCCACCATTCCGTCACATGAGACATGACTAAGTCTATTTTGTTTCACATTAACATTGCAGGCCCCAAGAGATGCAATTAGTTTCAATACTGTCACATAAAAAATGTAAAATCCTAGGCTGACTTTATCTTCTTTATCTTCTTTCTGTGTATCTCACCAATGATATATTTTGCTTTTTTCCCTCTGCTGTGAAGACATAGGCTGCCATCATACTCCATTCATTCCCTCTAAGAGGCTCTGGTGCACCACTGTGTAAATCAATCAACTGCCTCAGCTGATCCTTTTAAAACACCTTGGGAAGGGACTCCTTCACCCCTGCAAGTCCATTTTAATTGTACAGCAAATGCCAGTGGCTTTGCATTGCTTGGAGATGTGATCGAGAATTTTCACTGTTTTTCTCACATCCCACCTCTGCTGCAATAAAGGCATGACCTGATTTTTCTCTCTTTCACCTCCAGGTATTAGTTAATATTGGCAACCATTTTGACCTGGCTTCCAGTATATTTGTAGCACCAAGAAAAGGAATCTATAGTTTCAGTTTCCATGTTGTGAAAGTATATAACAGACAAACTATCCAGGTACGTACTAATGAGGGAGAATCTTCATTGGTGTAGCTTGTTTTTGTGATATTTTCGTGTAAAAGTAGATGACTCCAAATAGGTAGCAAAACATAATGATGAAATAATTTATAAACAGATATTTTCTTTTAGTTCTCTTTATCAGCTCTGTTAAATAACAGGATGAGCTTAGTCTCGTCATCTAAGGCTTTCCTATCCCTTTTAAAGGACTAGTTGGCAGAAGTAAGCACATGTGCTCCATCCATAGCCTGACCTGGGGAGGAGAGGTTGCAGGGCATTGTGCCCCTCTGCCCCACTAAGTGCCTGCAAAGACGGAGATCTACTGTCTCCTAATCCATTCCTTCCCCACCTCTGTTTTGGGCTCCTGCATATGGTAAACTGACTTATGTAATTTGGGTTTGATTTGACATGTGAATGGGTGTGTCTTAAGATAATAGTAATAACAGTGATAAAGTAAAATAAATGTATAGAGGTGTTCATACTCTTGTTTCTTTTTATTTGCAGGTAAGTTTAATGCAGAATGGCTATCCAGTGATTTCAGCTTTTGCTGGGGACCAAGATGTCACCAGAGAAGCAGCTAGTAATGGGGTCTTGCTCCTTATGGAAAGAGAAGACAAAGTACATCTGAAACTGGAGAGAGGGAACCTCATGGGAGGATGGAAATACTCAACTTTTTCTGGCTTCTTAGTCTTTCCACTATAAAAGGGAGGTCAAGGAGAAGCCTTGTCTGCAAGATAAAACAAGGATCCAGTCATTTAAAAACAACAACAACAACAACAGCAACACACAAGAACCCTTCTCCCCCTTCCAGAACTTGGCTATACTTGCCAATAATTCCAGACACCCAGTCAGACTGCTATAATAGAAGAATGATAAACCTTCTCAGTGTCACTCTTTGCTTTGACTTGTGACAGTTCCTTGGGAGACCTGCAGCTCTGGTTAGTTTTAGATGACAGTGATCTTAAGAGAAATGAAATTATCAACCTGAGCAATTTGTACCTGTGATTGTAAAGTCAATTTTGGATTTTATTGTTGGGATCATTGACTTTCCTTCCTTTGTTCTCTTTTCATCTCCTCAAGAGACACCTTAATTGAGACCACACAGCTGCTTGTCCAGGGCTTACCCTAAAGCCAGAAGAACCTGACATCTGATGAAGTGTTCTTGCAATGCTCTCTTCTTTTGTGTGTGTGTTCTAAATGAATTCCAAGACAAAAATAAGAATGGCTTCAGTTTCAATCCTGTATCTTCTGCGGGAGGGAAATCTTTGGACATTACTGTGTCAAGAAGTGCTTTATTCAGTGAAGCAAATTTTGCACGATTGGAAACTATTTTATTTTGTGTTACTTGTGTTTTTCGTCATCATCCATCTCCTTCCCTGACTCTTTCTGTGCTGAAGAAGTAAACATGATGGATCAATAAGAAAAAGCAAGCACAAACATATTCTGTAGCTTGCAGTGAAACCAAGCAGTGAGCAGTTCTGCTTGTGCTGTCCAGCTGATCTAACAGAAACATTGTTGAGACTGAGAAGGACCATGTGCAATCTGATCCTTGAGTTACAATCTGCAAAGGGACTGACATTTCGGAATTGATTTGACATTTCCAGAATCTGCTCCAGAAGGATGTGAATATCCTGTTTGAACATGCCATAGAATAACAACATTCCTTTGCATTGCTGGAAAGTTTTTGTTTTTTTATTTTTGGTGCTTTCCTGATTTTTATCTGATCAATTTGATTATTGAAGTGTGCATATATAGTGGTTTTGTTGGCCTTTTTTGAGTGGCCCAACAAATTAGTTCCCCTCTGATTTAAAGAAAAACCATTTCATACCAAACTGCCAGGTGTGTATCAACAGTTGCTGTTAGTATGTGTCATAGAATGAGGAACACCAAAAATCTTGCAGTTTGGAAAGTTTCCTAAGGTTTACATGGCTTAGCAATGAATACTCCATAAGTTAATTACTAATTTATTTATTTATTTATTTCTGTTGCTTCCTCTATTAACATCCAAAGACTTTTCAGTAGTCTTAATCCAATACTGTATGCCAGAAAGGTCAGTGATTCCAAATGATAAAAGAAGAAAAAACCTCAGGTTGAATTCAAATTCACCTTCTATGTGTTAATGTAACCAAAATGCAAATGAACTTTAGATTCAGAATAAATGGGTTTCATGTCCGACCTGCCTTCTTTTCACTTTTATGTAAGTGTCAAAAATGACTCTGAAATACAAGGGAAAGTGCAATTTGGTCTTAAAGGAGTACTTAGGAATTTTGATATTTTTTTAAAAAAATGTCTGTTTAATTTATTTTCAAATCTATATTTTGTTTATTTCGATGAGCAGCTGGGTAGATTGGAATTTTATTTTAATTTGTTGTGTTAGTTTCTCTCCCCTTTTTAAAGGAACTAATATAATGCAAGTGCTGTTTTCAGAATACATTGCATGTCAGAGTTATGGTGGACATGTTTTCATTGTAAATTTGTCATTAAACGGTCACTGTCAGTTTAAAACAAAATATAAAAAACAGTTTCTCTACCTGTGTTAATGGCAGAACTGTGACTTTTTTTTAACAAGACAAAAATCTAAAATCTGATAATGTTTTCTTTTCCACATTCTTCTTGTTTTTGATTGTCACTTAACTTTTAGGTTTCCACTAAATGAGTCTAACTGGTTGTTGATTCAACCTTTGTTCACTCATTTCTGCATCACCAGGATCACACTGGCATTGTTCTCACACATTGTTTGTATTTGAGTAGTGCAGTTCACATTTTCATATAGCTTTGTAAGCCTGTCTACATGTCCGTGACTTCTTGCTTTTGTGGCACATAGGTCCTATGCATTGGGCCTAAGTGCACAAAATATATTTGGATGTAGGTCCCATGGTAATATGAATTTCAGCAGGATACTCAATCATGGCTTAATCTGTTTGCATTGCTGTGTGTGTGCATGCATGTGCGTTCCTGCATCTAAATTCCAGTTTGTCCAGGCAAAATTCTGCAGTGAATTCCTTGAATCATTGTACAGTAGAGGTGGAGAACCTGTGGCCTTCTAGGTGTTGGACTACAATTTCCATTACTTCAACTATTAGCCATTATAACTATGGCTGATCAAAGTTGAAGTTACAACAGCATTTGGAGTTTGCCTAGTCTTTCATTGCAGATTTACAGGTTGGCACAGGTATCAGTTTATCTGCATCATTCCCCACATATGTGCTCATTGATACAACACTGCAATGTCTGCCAATAAGGACCAGATGAGATTGCATCAGATTATTCTTATTGAAGTTCCCATACATTCCTGTGTTTTATTAAAACACACAAATGGACCATACCAAGAATTTTTTCAGGATCCAAATGGTAAAGATGCTTTATCAATATTCACATATGCTTCAAATATATTTTGGAGGAAAGAAATGGCTGCAGTAAGAGAAAAATATTGCAAAATGCAAAGCATATATATATATTTAAATTAAGCCATGGCAGATTTCTAGTACTGCAGTTCTGCTATCAAAATAAAAGGGGTTAATTTAATTCTCCAGAACATGGGAGAAAATTGGAGGCAAAGAATTTGTTTTCAACAGCAGTCATTTTTGTTCGTGCAGGTATGGAAGAACAATCTGCTGTTGCAAATACAATAAAGTGAATCAGTTTGAAAAACTGCATAGTCCAAAATAACTCTTGAAAAAATGACAAATGACATTTAGAGTTACTGTCTTTAAGTGCTTCATCACTTATTTTCAATGCACTGAGCACTTATTTAGTACATTACTTTAAATTTATTGGAACATAAATCTGAAAGAGTACCATATGCCAAGAAATGGGAAAGGAGGACAGTATCTCAAACTTATTTTATTGAAAAGCAGATTTCTAGAAATATAGAATTAAAATGATACTTTTTCCCTGATTCATTTCATCTTCACTGTAGTGTCGTACCTAGATACCTTGTTATAGCATTACTAATTACACCAGATTTTTGAAAAAAGGAAGAGTCAAAGGATTAACAGAGTCTATTGAACTTTTAATTAAAATCAAATAGGTATAGGAGATACTGTATACGTATTTCTAAAGCAGGGGTGAGCAATTAATTTCTCTAGGGGGCCACATGAAAAATCTGAACGGTGTTCAGGGGCTGAACCAACTTTACTTAAAAATAAAACGAAACAGTGATGTTATGATTGTTTTTATTTTAAACTTGTTAAGCTTCACAAATACTAAAGAGGTTTTTGCGGTATGTTAAAGATAAGCAACTGATCAACTTTAGACAAAAAGCTATAAATGGTTTTGATGTTCAACTTGTTCAGTGAAAGAAATCCAGTCTGTCTTGGGCTTGAACAAGTGTTTGAATACCAGACTGGAGCGACGACCGGCAGTCCGGACAGGAGTGGCCCGCGGGCCATATGCGGCCCGTGGGCCGCATTTTGCCCGGGTCTGTTCTAAAGGATTTCATTTGTTTTGGTCTTATTTTTATGTGCCAGCAAAACAATTGAAACTGTTACTTTATAATTTTATTTAATTCTAACCTCCATGAAGGACCTTGTTATCGCTAAGAAATTGAAGTATTGAAATATATGTACCAAACAGATGATGTACATTCACAGCATCTTTTTTTAAAAAAAACCTGAAACTCTCTGGTTTAAGCTGTAGGGCACAACTGGAGAACCAAGTACAGAGCCAGTGAGTCTTTAATGGGCATGAAAATTTATCTTATGAAATACTATTTTATTTTAAAATAAAGGTAAACAACAGGTGATAAAAGGAACATGGTCTCTAAAGAAATAAATTTCTGGATTTTAATCCTTTTGAATATGCTTTTAGAGCAATTAGAATAAAGTAGTCAAAGGAAAAGTTTATCATTAATAAAAATGGCATGTGACTGCATCTGTGTATGTGTATGCATACATTTGTGTTTCATTATATGATGCCATACAATATCTTTTAAAATTAACTGAGAGTTGTTTAGATAGCTATTTGGGAGACCTCTAAATACGGGGATGTGCAAATGTATACACAATTGCTGTGGAGAAATGTAAAAACTTAAGATTTGTTTCATTTTGCTATTTTGGGTGGTAGCATAGCATACAGCACTGCTGGTAAAAAAAAAAAGTATAAGAAAAGCTAATATTTAACATTCAGAGGGCCATCCCCAGAAAAGCAGGCATGCCTTAAAATGGGACCATAAACATATTTACTTAGAAATCAGATGCAGGGCTTATTCCCTAACAACTAATGCTAGGCTTGAAGCCGAAGGCACACTTACATATATTATGCCACATTAACTTGATTTCTTTCTAAGTACAGTAATTACACTTTGGAGTCCTGTGTGAAGATGTCATTACACATTATGGACTATACATAACTGCTGCTGAAAACATTATTTCTTCATTTCCCCCTTATATAGTTTGTTTGTTTGTTTGTTCCTGCCTCTACCCAACTTCTTTGGCTGCTGTTTGGAAGTACACTTTTAATAATAATGAGAGGACACTGGGTTGTACCTTTTTTTCTTTTAGTGAATATCACCCAAAAAGGGGGACAGGGAGCAAAACAGAATGTATGACACAGAATATTCACTAGTATTTTATGGTCTTTTTGGTATATCGTAATAACAGCGGTCAGAGGTAGGATCAGGACTAAAATACTGAGGAGAAGGTCAACGCTTTTCTGTCTTGCCACTTTCCAGATACTGTACAAATCTCTCCTCTCACCGGAGCTGCTCTTTGCCCTATGGTATCATGTCAATTCTTGTAGGTCTGTGAATGGGGCATACATATTTAGCTGTGGAATAATGTTTTGAGAAGAAAGGTTTAAATTCACCAAAGCACCACAGCCCTTACTCAAATCTTTTTCCTTCCAACTCAACATACATTGAAATACTTGGTGAAGTTATTCAAGCATTGAAACAACTATAGGGTGTTTATCTTAAAAAAAAGGATTATGGAGCCTTTGACTTTCCAGAAGTTTGGGTATACAAAGACACAATCAAGCGTGATATGGGAGTTGTAGTCAAAAATATGTGGTCAAAAATCCTATACCTTTGCTCTGTGAGCCTGGTGAGCATTGTACTGCAGTGTGTCTACCTCAGAAATCCTGGCTGGCACAGCTAGCAGTGAGGGCTTCTGGAAGTTTTAGTCCAAGAACATCTGGACTAATTCAAGGTTGGGAACCACTGAGCTAGCAGTATAAGCTCTCTCTCTGCTAACTACAGATATATAAACCAGGTCTTGTAAAATGATCCTATTTAATTGAGCGTCTCTTGTCTGTAGAATGATTGTATCTGGTTTAACACTGATTTTCTAAACCTCAGCTATGAAGTTCTTGCTTCCTTTCTGCCTATCTACAATTGTATTCATACTGGTAGTGGACTTCTAAGCTCTAGGTGAAGTTGTGAAATAATATTTTTTCTTATTATGGGATAAATTTGCATTTCATAAAACTGCATTGCTACCCATTTCAGAAGAAACCACGAGCCAGTACCCTTCTTCATCATGCTTGACAGGAAAGTCAGAAGCAAGCATTTCATCCTCACATCACCCTTGGCCCTGAAGTTAGCATTTTCCATCCCCACCCCATTTGCCATTGAAGTCTAGTCATTTTAAAACCCAAAACCCAGAGTCCTGTTGACAGAGGCAATAGATGTAGTTGCATTGTATTCAATTCCAAAGTGAAATAATAATCCTGTGTTTGCAAGTCAGTTCTGACTAACAGCAACCCCTTTCAGGATTTCCTAGTAGACAGTACGCTAAAGTGGTTAGCCATCCTTTTCTGGGGGCATCCTGGGATTCTGCAACTTGCCCACAACCACACAGGATGGCTCTACTTGCAAGAGGCACACTGGGGAATCAAACTCCCAACCTCTGAGTCCTCAGCCAGAAACCAAAGCAGAACAAATTCCACAATGCAATCTTCCACTTTTCTGCTCCTTGGTTTTTGTTGTTGTTGTTGTTCTTTTGTAGCCTTTGCTCTCCTGCCAGAGGGGGCACTAATGAGCTTACACTGACTTGCAAACTGCTGAGGTGGTATATGTGATGCACAGATAAAACACATAGACAGTTAAACTATATGATTTACTTCCACAGGGAACAGGATTATCCAAAGTGAGGCAGCTGCCTGCTAAGAACAGTGAATTTGCTGCTCCTCCTCCCTGTCCCAAACTCTGGAGAGCTACGGCTGTTTTCTGAAGGCAGGTTTTTTTATTTGGGTTCTTTCAGAGTCAGCCATTTTTCATGGTTTTTCAGGGAAATTCCCTGTGCTGAGCAATGAAATAGATTGTATCTGGCACAGGCAGCTTTCTTTGGCTAGCAAAAAAAAAAAAAAAAAAAAAAAGAGCCTCAGAGCCCTACAATTA